AAATTTAGTTGTAAAGGCAGATCAACTTTCTTTTTAGCCATTTGTTAGGCTTGTTTATGTATGTAGGTTTTAACTGGCATCCATTTATTTGACATGAATTTACTGAACTCTATTCCGTATTAAGTTTATTACTAAGCACTTTTGGGAATGAAAACTGAAAAGGCTCCAGGCTTCAACAACTTCACATTCCTTCAGAGGGACACAAAACACACTTATCAATAGCTAAAATACAACCCATTTATATAAGGTTATGGGACTCAAGAGTGGGGAGTGGTTTTCTCCAGCAGGAGGGTCAGGACAAATCCTGTGGAGGAGAACAGGATTTACATTTGCTAAAATGGGCAAACTATAGATATGGAGAGAAAGATATTCTCGACAGAGGGTATTTCTGATTTTCCTTACTGCCTTCCCTCATAGCACCCTGAATTTCTGCAAAGCACATACCACATTTTGTAACTGCATATTCTTTTAGGCAATTACGTGTTTGATGCCTCTATCTTCCTCCCCTAGACTGTACTCTCCACAAAGCAGTCACCACTCTATGCACATACACACAGTAACTAGTACAGTGCCTGGAACATAGTGATTGTTTGGCAGACATTTATTGATGAATAAGTGGTCAAGAGCCTCAGATTCCAAGTGGTTTTGCCATTTATTAGTTTTGCAGTCTTGGGCCCTATACCCTAAGCCTCTATTTCCTCATATGTAAGATGGGGTTGTAATAGTTCTTTCCATATAGGATTGAAGTAAGAATAGAATAATGCACCTGGATATGATATAGCTATTATTAATTTGATAGGAAGAAGCAGTAATATGAAGCCAAGCCTGTTAGTGATAAGAGTTTGAATTTGTCTAGCTTTTTTTTTCTATAACTTACTCAGCAAGGCAATGCAGCAAGTTTAATTTAAACTGGTATCTTGACCCGATCTGCTCCTACTGGACCGGGTGAGCAGGGCTGCTTCCCATGAAGATTCTGGTGCCTCATTTATAGAGCAGGGCTAATGGAATAGCTGTTCCTTCATTAGTAAACTGTCTTGCCGGTCAATAAGATGGCACACATGAAAGCAATGTGTGATAGGTCTGTAATATGCAGAGCCTATATCACAAGTTTGAGAGTACCAGACTTCATTTTTATTAAACTAAGATAGTTAGGTAGATAGGTAGATACATAGATAGATACTTAGATACATAGATGTAGAGATAGAGATATATAGATATATCATCATGGGATGCAAAGTGCAGCATAGGGAATGAAGTCAATGGTATTGTAATACCTATGTACGATGTCAGGTGGGTGATAAACTTGTTGGGGTTATCACTGTGAGGTGTGTAAATGTCTAGTCATTATGTTGTTTTGTACATCTAAAATGAATAATAATTAAAAAAAATAATCTGCATTAAAAGAGTTCTTCCATCCTCATTAGTTGAGGTGGCCACCTGCTCTGGCCCATCTGTCTCCTGACCTTTCAGTTTAGGTTAAACCATTTCTCTTCACCCCACACCCCACCCCACCCCACCTGGGTCCCCACCTGCTGGCCTGGCCTCCATCTATGATTCTTACTTTACCTTGCTCAAACATTGCTAATGAACCCCACCTCTACCTAGAAGTTTCTAAGCAACATACAAGTGTCACCTAGGAGGAGTAAAATTCCAGGCCCTGACCAGGTCTACTGACTTAGAACTGAACCCATATTTTAAAAAGACCCCCCAGAGGACTTAATAAACATTTTAGTTTGAGAAGCACTGCTTTAGAACACTATTTCCCAAAGTATCTTTTGAAGGACTCTGTCAAGGACAGACAATCAAAGCCACACCTTTCTTTCTGTTTATAGGGCATCTGGCCATCAAAAAATATTTAATGAGTGACAACTATGCCCCATACTATGCTGGGTTTAGAGGATCCAGTGGTGAAGACAACAGATGTGGTCCTCACATTCAGGGACTTACAATCCATCAAGGGCAGTGCTAACAAGGGAAGGCAAGTATGGGAGTGTCATAAAGGGTACCTGTGGGATGCTTGGGGTATTCTACTTAATCAGGTGGGTAGGCCAGGGTCTAATGTCATTTGGGACATGAAAGCAGCATTCCTGGGGAAAGGCTACCACAACGGGTCCCTTCAGAAGCACACACGAAGGGCCCAGGAAGGAGGGGCAGCTAAACACAGTGCCAGCTTCACACAGCAGGTACAAAGGCTTGGAGCAACTATAGAAATGCTTGCCCAGCACCTAATCCATGCAAGGCGTTGCTGAAAGGGCTTTCTTTATATGTAGGTGTGACTAGTAACCCTGTTTTACAAATAAGGAAATTGAGGCACAGAGAGATTAAGTAATATGTCCACTGCTACAGAGCAAGCCTTGGAGCTCAACTCCTGCTATCTGGCTCCAGCATCTACGTTCTCAGCCACCACCCTCTACAACATTAGAGCTGGGAAGAACATAATGCATTCAAGAAGCTGATACATGTTATGTATCCAGAGTTCCAACAGTATTTGTTCATATATTAATAGCTATGATCCTGTTTTATCATAATGGGGAGAATGCATCACCATTTAGCGGCAGCTTCTTACAACTCAACATTTTAAGAAATATCCCATAGTTACTGAATCAGAATTTCTAGCCATGGAGCTAGAAATCTTCATTTTAATAATGCTTCCAGATGATGCAGAGGCAATAAAGATTGAAAACCATAGGCTTAGAGGTACCATTTCCTCCAATAATCTCCTCCCTCTCATAGCCCTCCCCAATTAACCCATCATTACTTAATAATATATTGGTCCCAAGGCATAAACTAAACACGAGGGTAATTAGAACGGAAGTGGAAAGCTGGAAGAAATCTGAAAATTGAATCTTTGCTCCTCCAGGTCCCTTGGCTGCCAGGCTGTGTAAAGAATTAGCTAGGCTTGAAAAATTGGAGGCAAAAAGAGACCACAGAGGCTTAGAACTATTTTCATTTCAATGCCAACATTTAAACAGCTAATTGAATTTCTGGAAATTGGAGTAAAATTTCAAATTGCTGGAAGAGCAATTATTTTGCATGTCCTAGGATGCCTCCATTTTTGCCAGTGCTAGGAAAAGGCTCTCAGGCAGCAGAGAGAATTTTCTTGAATGTAGAATACACCCCATAGCAGTAACTGAAGCAATCGCTAGCCATGAGGGCACACTGGTTTAGCAAGACGGATATGCCTCCTAAGTGTCAGGGGACCTTGACTGCTCTACCACTAGTATCTGACCGCCACTAGAGTATTCATTTTAATTCAGACTTTTCCTTTTTTATAACTATTTAACAAAGGAATTATGTTAATCTCCCATGAGGAGAAAACTAAAAGAAATAGCTGAACCGCAATAAAATTCCATCACCGTGGATTATTTTACTTTGTAAATTTTTCTGATATTTATCTTTAAGAGCTTGAGTGCTTTTCAGGTATATTACTATTAAATTCCAAAAGTCAGTCTCCTAGATGCTGCCTTTCAAATGGTTCAGGATAGAGCTCATATCTTTTCTGTCCCACACTGTCTGGAAATGACAGTCCCCTGATGACTCAAAATAAACCCTATTCATTCAGTTCACTTACTTCAGATCTTAAATTCAGAAAAGTAAGTTTTGGAGAGTTTCTGGAAGAGATTATTATTTCTACCCTTTGAAAGATCAGATAAGCATTCCCCTGTATTTTCAAAGCTCTTTCATAGTCAATATATGTATTTCTGATTCTATCCATCAATAAAGTTCACTGGATGCTACTCTATGAATGCTGTGACAAAGGATCATTAAGAAGATGAAATGACATGGTTATGCAGGTGCCCCCCCCCATTGCATTATAAGACACTGATGATGATAATCTTCAACAGCTGTCACCGCCCCTTTGTCAGTCACTGGGAGGTGGTCTGAAATGGCAGTCCGATCTTTGCCAATGTTGGCCATGTCACTCCATGAAGATGTGTGAATCCAAGTACATTTGAGGGATCCCAGACTGAAAGAGCTAGACTTTCTCAAAGAAAGACGCTAATGGTCTCAGTCTCTGTGATGAACTGCATGCTTCCTTCTTCCCTCTTCCAGGAGGCGAGGCAGCAATAGTGAGGGCCATGCCCCGCTTGAGAGGATGCGACCATCAAGAGAAGGCCGGGGCTGTGTGGATGAAACCCAACTTACTCTGGGCGCTAAGGTTAACGTTCTTTCCATCCCTCTTTTCCTTGGATGCGCCTTTGCTTACCACAGCAATGATAAGATCCACGGCACCAAGGCCAGGGTGTGAGACAAGGGGAGAGGAACTAACTCCAGGTCTTAGGCTGAAACTCAGCTTTGGGGCTAGGAGTACGTGCATCGCCACATGGACTAGCTCATTAGGGCACTTTCCCCCATAAGTGTGGGGGAAAAGACCTGTTCTAAAAAAGGGGTCATTTTATCACAGGGATCCTATGTGTTTATGAAAACTTAGGTATTAAGTATCCCAGATCTCAGCCCTCCAAATACACCCATGTATATAAACCATAACCATTAAGAGTAAAGAAATAAAAATCTTATATTGCCAAGTTCTGTATATCGCCAACACTTTTTAAATTATCTGCGCTTGTTCTTCCACGGGGTTATATTTATTAGTGACATAAGCATGGTGCCTGAGGCTCTATATTCTAATGAACATGCCTGGCATCAGGCTCCAAGCACAAAGGAACAACAAAGAAATTGTGATGGTGATGATGTTTTATAAGGAACCACACAAGAACAGTTGTTCAAAACTCCACAACAGGGTTAATAGAAGATCAGTACCCCTGCAATGCACACCAGTGAAATTATGGCACATAATAACTGAATGTATTTTCCCTGCTAAATTATGACAGATTTGGAAACCCAGGACTTCATTTACAAATTTTACAAACCTTGTTCCCAGGGTGACATGCAAATAAGAAAGAAGAGTGCTCGCATTCCACAATCTCTCACTTATTTAGCAGTGGGGAAAACAATTGGTGGTTAGGGAAGAAAGCACTAAGGAAACAGCGTCTACCTACCTGACTGGCACAGCCTTGGGCATGGTGTCCACTCACTGAAAGAGGTCACAGTACAATCTTTTTTGCATGGGAGGAGACAAGGACGTACTGTTTCCGGCCGTGTAGAATCTGGACATCTGCCAACATAAAGAGACCACATCAATGAATGCTGGACAAAGTAAGGGCTTTAATAAAGAACCACAGGATTTCAGAACAGAACACATTGCCACCTGCTGTTCCTTTTATAGACAAGGGAAGACAGACCCGTCTGCCCACGGGCTCCCAGCCAGAGGCAGAGCAGGAGACTTCAGCACTCTTCACCCAGTCACCAAAACACTTCTTTTAGACTAGGGAAAGAACAGCCCCTGAAACTAAAGAAAGACAAATGCCAAGAAAGCATCTCCCTGTCAGCATCAATTCAAATAACACATGACTTTTTCAGAATTCACCTATCTGATATATTTTTGAAAAGAATTTTATTCAGGGTAATATACCCAATCAGTGCTATCCATCAAAAGGAAGAGGGACATCAAGACAGCATACTGGGAAACAAAATCACTGAAGACCACTTAAATATATTATACATTTTTTATAATTAACAGAAATTTAGACTATTTAAATAATTGGCCAGAGTCTCTTCAGAACCTGTAGATTAATGAGTTGGAGTAAGCAAGATATGACAGATGGCAAATAGCATATATACTAACTATCATTAACAAGAGACACATTTTAATTCTGTCATTTTGTTGATAATACATTTAATGCTCATACTTGTGAGGAAAGTAATATAAACAGTCAATCGATTAATAACCACTTGGAAGAACTAAAGTCTCAGAATATGAAAAACAAGTTTTTGTTTGCTTTCTTGCTAGTTTTTTATGATTTCCAGAGGGCTAAAAAATCATGATTATTATCTCTAAAACAGCAATATGCCAAGAATAAAAATAGGAAAGCACTCCATAACATATATTGGCACTTTAAATTCTGTTTCCCATAGTCTCTTATAAAGCACAGAGCTTTGGTGTGTACAAAGCCTGATAGTGTAAGCTTTGGCATTAGATAGCCAGTGCTGAGTTAAGTGCTTTGCCTATATTATTTTATTTGCTCCTAATGACACTAGTGAAAGGCATTATAATCTTCATTTTCAGATGATAAAACTGAGGTGCTAAAATAATAAGTAATGGACCGAAGCTACATGGGTACAGAGCACTTGAGAAAATTATGATAGAAAAAGCACCAGTCTAAAATGCTCGAACAGACAATGAATAGACTTTCCACTAGGAAAGAACAAAAAATGTAGAAGATAAAATTAACAAACATATAGTGGATTAAAATAACAAAGAGCTGATGAGAGGGTAATGATTCAGATGAAAAGACCACCCATTGTAAACAAAATGACCAACATGCAAACACAGAGATTGTCCAAATTTCAAACAGTAAGGAAAAGTAAGAGAAGAGATGATAATGGTTGGGGAGCAGGAGAAAAATAGGTCATCTAAGGAGGGAGAAGATTCTGACTGACATCAGACCTCATGAATTTACATAGTTATAAAAATTAAAACATTTTCTTAGTTTTAAAACTTGAGATACAATACACAGGAAAAACATGGGAGACTGAATTTGGCTGTGGAACAGAATGTTCATGATATCGTTGTTGCCACCACAATGTGAAGACACAGTGGGCAAAGGATGGGATGGGAGGTGGAAGAAGAATGAAAGAAAGTAGAGGCGTGAATGTCCTCATCCACCAAAGCAGGGTGTCAGAGAGCCAACCAACACATCCATAACATAAGAAATAAAGTTGTTAGATGATTAATCAAAAGGACTAACGTAACCAACCAACAGAAAACCAATAATGTGAGGAGCTGGGAGAAAAATTAGTATAAATGTGCTACTGTTCCTTGCTTTCATGCGAGGAATCAAAGGGTGGACATTTTAAATTGAGAAATGAGGAGATATATAAACAATATGTGAACATATATATTATTGTAGCATTAGGAGCTAACCATCAGAAAGGGAGGAGGAGTAAGAATATATACTTGGGCTGGCTTATATTAACATAAAGACACAGTGGGTAGATAAAAAACAAATAAAGAGGTTGCCAGAGGCAGGGCAGGAGGCAGGGAAGGGGTGGATGGGAGCAGGGGTGGTGCAGGCCTCTTGTTATACATTATTTATCTCCTTGTATATTGTTATGATTTGTGAATCACATGAAGGCTTACCCAGTCAAAATAAAGAGAGAGCAACTATTAAGAAAAGGTTGTGCTTGAGATGTGTGATACTCAGTAGAGTAGGAGATGGTTGGGAACCTGTTGCCTTCCATCACCAGTCCCTCTGTATTATTTTACTTGTACTATGAAGCATATCATACTTTAATAAAAATAAATTAAATTGGAAAATATATATACATTCACAGAAAAATAACTGCTTAAATAATTATTCGTGGCATTATTATTAATCATAACACAAAAAGCTGTCTATCAAATAGTTCAATTCAATGAACCTAACAATAGAAAAAAAAAGAGTGTCTTAGAGTTTCTTTATTAGGATATAGTGTTATTTAAACAAGCTACTCTGGGAGAAAAATTTATGTCATACTTTAGTAGACATAGCAAAAAACAAAATCATTCCCAAGTCCTTTATTTATACTCTGAAGTCTAATGAAATTAAACTGAACTGCGATTTATTCTAACTTGTCTCCAGCCTCTCCTGGTATATGGTTGCAAATGAAAGCACAATTTTAGAAAAGCCAACTTCCTATGTGCTCAGAGGGGCAGGGGGCACCCCACACTGACCCAGTACATGCTCACTCACACATTCACCAAATAGCTTAGAAATAGTTGTGCTTGGAATGCAGATTGGTGCAGCTGCTATGGAAGGCAGTGTGGAGGTTCCTCAAAAAATGAAGAATAGAATTACCATATGACCCAGCAATCCCTCTCCTGGGTATCTACCCAAAACAATCTGAAAACATTTATCCATAAAGATATGTGTGCTCCAATGTTCATTGCAGCTTTATTTACAGTGGCCAAGACATGGAAACAACCAAAGTGTCCTTCAATAGATGATTGGATAAAGAAGATGTGGTATATGTACACAAAAAAATACTATTCTTCTATTTAAAAAAATGAAACTGTCATTTGCAACAACATGGATGGATCTTGAGATTATTATGCTAAGTGAAATAAGTCAGACAGAAAAAGTCAAGAGCCATATGATTCACTCATATGTGAGATGCAAAACTGAAAGCAACAAAGGAACACAACAAACAAACAAAACAAAACAAACAAACTGGGGCGGCCAGGTGTCTCAGGTGGTTAGAGCACGTGCTCTGAACAACAAGGTTGCTGGTCCGAATCCTGCATGGGATGGTGGGCTGCGCCCCCTGCAACTAGATTAAAAACGGTGACTGGACTTGGAGCTGAGCTGCACCCTCCACAACTAGATTGAAGGACGACTTGACTTGCAGCTGATGGGTCCTGGAAAAAACACACTGTTACCCAACAAAAATTAAAAAAAAAAAGAAAGAACAAATACCAAGAGACAATAGTTTAGTGGTTACCAGAAGGTAAACGGGGAGAGAGGTTGTAGATGACGGTAAACGAGGTCAAATATATGGTGATGGAAGGAGAACTGCTCTGGGTGGTGAACACATAATGTGATATATAGATGATTATTACAGAATTGTATACTTGAAACCTATGTAATTTTGCTAATCATTGTCACTTCAATAAATTTCAATTAAAAAAAAAAGAAAAATACTTGTGGTGCTGACTTTAGACTTTCTGGAGAGAGTAGCTTACACTGCAGGGATTTTGCTCTCCTCAATAGGAGTGGGCGTTAAACTCTTTTAGGGAACTGATATTGCCTAATTTATTTACACTTTACTAGAATCACTTATAATAAATATTCACTGGCTATCATGTCAGCTCTCCACAGGATGGCCTCCTTTCTCTCTGTGTTCTTCTGCTAAGTCCATAAGAGAGAATCAGCATCATTCCCTCAATGGCAAAGTTCAAGCGCAGGTTATATTGCTTTTATAGAGGCCATGAACTGAGGGCTTTCCTGGAATGTGATTTCTGGTCTGATAGGAGCCAACTATTCCCTTGTCAGGAAAATTGTCTTTCTGTTAATTTCTTCTGCCAAAATGGTTGGCCTTTCCTTAAGGGATTCAACTTGCTCTTCCTTTTTATGTACCCCTTTCAAGGATCATCACATTTCCAATTTTCATGAATTTCCTCTTAGTCTTAAAAAATATTCTCTTTGACCATTATTAGCAAATTATGTGCCCTGCACATCTAAAAACTATAAGGTTTTATTTTCTGTATTGCACTGTCACTGACTAAAAAAGTTTTTTGACATTTTTCGCATTGCTATTTTCTTGTGTGTGTGTGTGTGTGTGTGTACATGCAAATATGCACACATGTGCATGCAAAATACATACACTAACTTTGAATGCCTTGATGGTAAAATTCCATCTTATATCACATATTAAAAACGCCACATCTTAGTGCGTTGTAAATATTTAATAACAGTAAGTGAATGATTCAATAGTATTCCATGCCTTTAGAACCTGAAGACAAATAAATCCCTAGGGATATTAAGCAAATGTATTCAACTATTTTCAAAATAAAATTGAAGCCCTAAAACCAGGGAAACATATGGGTTCACTTTTTAGTTAGTAAACAAGGTATGACCGTTTGCCTTTTGTCATAATTTATACTACCTACTTTCATGTAACATTCTCATCCTAGATTGGTGGTGCTCTTGATAGAAGAATAAAGGCATTTCACTTCAACACATATATTTTCCTGGACTTATACTGGAATATTCTGTAATGATTGTCTCTTGGTCACCCTGCAGGTTGCATTGTGCTGAAATGCTTTAAATTGAGCTCTAAAGACCTGCCATTGTTTAGTTTGCCTCCAAAATGGAGATATGGAAACACACTGCTCCATTGCTTTGGGCAGGAACTAACGCACCATCTCACTCAGCTAAGGGGGCAAACCTGACAACTTTTTAAACATTAATGTTTAACAGGAGCTCTGCATTCCTATATCTCACAAAATGTCAGGTGTTTTTACATTAATGGCAGAAAATGCCTTATCAGAACCTTTGGAAGGCTTTGAGTTGTGTGTTTTTAATCTTTATTATTTTTTTTCTACATTGTAGCTGAGAAAAAAAGCATTGAATCGTGAAACAAAACCAAACAAAACCCCCAAAATATCCTAACACGCTCTCACTTCTGTTTCAGTTGTGCCCCAGCTAGTTCTCATTTTCTGATATGATCAGTTCTATTACTCATACAATAGTAACATTCCATTTGAACAATTGCACGGAAACTAAACCACCAACCCAGGGAAGCAAGAACTTGCAAGGAATTCTGTGCATCCTAGCGCAGTGTGTTTAGAGATAAAAAACATTATGTTAACCCATCTGTTCCATGGAGGCATGCTTTCTTCTTTCTACCCTGAAGGCCACTCTTTCTTTAGGATATTTTCTTCTTCTGTTCTCTTTCTATTGCCCCACCTCCACCTCAAGAATTTCACAAATGGCAGAGTATCGTTATCCACTGCAATGGCTTTCACATGAAAAAGAACACAAATCTATATATTTTTTTTGAAAGGGCAGAGCAAAAAATACTTTCTACAGCTGATAATCTCACTGTCTCACTATGTGCTTCACTGGACAGTGGGTATTATTTCCTTAACCCAATTAATCTCATTAATCTCAAGAATTTTAATTAACTTTATTAAAGTTAATGCAGGCTCCTTATGTTTAGCAGGATTGTTTGGAGACATACAGTAAGAATTAAAAACTAGGTTAAGTCTCCAGCCTCATTAACAGTGCAAAAAGTAATTAGCAGTATCTCCGTGTGTGTGTGTGTGTGTGTGTGTGTGTGTGTGTGTGTGTGTGTGTGCCTTAGGGAAAGCATCTATGCAATTCATTTTTCGTTGCTGGTAAACTGAGCAAAACTGAAGGTTATTCATTTTATTAAAATTTTAGTCTCATCTATGTAAATTTTCACACAAATGCATATTCATTTGTGAATTATGTTTTAAACTATAAACTTTTAGTCCTGTGATTTGGGGTGGGGGACAGGCATAAAATATCATTAAGTTAACAGTTCAGTAAGCTGATGTGCTCGGAGACTTTAATAAGAAACTGTCATTCAAAGTAATTATGAGGATGGAGGAGGAAATAGAGGGCTATTTGAACATATAACCCAACTTTTCATGTCCCAATAGCTTTTAAAATGTGATGATAACTCATTTGGTAGGTGTCAGTCTCAATTCTAAAACCCTTTTCTAAGTAATAAACAAACTGCATTCACATGAAGTGGATTTTTCCTGTTGTGATTCAGAGCTGAGAAGTTTTGTCTAAGGGAGAAGGTCAGACATCAGGTATGCTAAATTTTCTTTCACTATTAAGAATAATAGCTTGCTGCATTTCATATAAGGTTTATTCCCATACATAAGCCATATTTATTTATTTGTATATTCAATCTAATGTTTCTTTTATCTTTTTTAAGCAGTTGAAAATTTATATCATAAGAATGAACATTATCCAGGCTGCAATCTTTCCCAAGATAAAAAGAGCTCTCCTGTCTGCATGCTACCTTTCAGAATTTTATCATAACCCCATGAATCAGATTATCATCTGAAACAGGTGATATGCAAACATTACTGTCCAGGTTTTACCATAACTCGCCTTGACTTAACTCAATCAGTCCACATGATGTTATGGATACCAGGAAAGTTAAAACACACAACTGACATAAGTCGGTGCTTCAGAAAACATCACAAGCAATGTAGGGTTAGATACCACAGGAGAAATAACACTTATGAGTTAATAAGAGTAAAAGGTCATGCATATGATCTGTGGATTACCCTTCCTGGCAGTCCCCTTTGCCAAAATTTATCACTGCAAAGGATAAACACCAGCTACTTAGTCTTCTGAAATTCATATCCAATTCTTGGGAAAACCTGTTACTTTCCTACACATAAGTCTAGTTAATTTATGAGTTCTAAAATGTTTGTGGAACACTAAAACCACATGCCAGACACTGTGTTATAGCCTGGGATTGCAACTATGAAGAACATCCAACCCCGGGCCTCTGGAAGCCATCTTTAGGAAGAGAGATGAGTTCTTCCTGACTGCTTCACTTCAAGTCATAGTTATCTTCACTTGCATTTTGCGGAGCCATCTGCTCATTGGACGCTCCAGCAGTATCTGGCCAATCTGCACTATTTCTGCCACCAGCAGTTCATGTCCCTTAACTGAGCTTCCATGATTTTCCTTACAGACACTTAAAGTGGTTTCCATGGCACTGTGGATAAGGCCCAGCGTCTGTCATCATGGTGCTCCAAGATGAAATTAATCAGGTGTCTGAGTTGCCCATGGCAGTGATACAAATTGGATTCAATTAGTCAGAAGAGCAAATGTATTTGCCTAGCTTGCCAGGAAAGCAGGGATATAATTAGGGGGGATGGAACCAAGGTTTGCTGTTGCCAGGATTTGTTCTGCTTCAAGTTTCTGCTTCTTTCTGAGCATCAGCTTCACTCTTTTTTCCCACTTTTTCCACCAGGACTAACCAAGACAATGACAACTCCCATTTAATTTGCTTGGAGCATTAGGAATGGAAAGAAGAGAGGGTTTCATGTTCCCATTGTGAAAATTGCTAGGAAACGGCTCTAAGTTGCCTAGTCTGTCCCAGCTCATCTCGGAGAGCCACAGCCCTTGTGGATGGGTGCGGTCTTTCACCACATGAAAGACACTAGTTAAGACATGTCCACTTGGAAACCTCTATGCATCCCAGTCTCTGTATACTGAGTAGGCCCTTTACATTTCCTTCTTCACAAGCCTTCACACACGGACTTGAGGAAGAGTTATGTCTCCTCATTTGGTCTAGCGATGAAACTCCTGCAGCTGAGTTCTCCAGTCAATTATTCTTTTTCTGCCATCACTTGCAATTATCCCTGACCTTTTTTGATATCTATATCCTAATCCTTACCTCCAAATTCTCCTACTGTTTTTTTTTTTTTTTAATTTACATGTCCATGAGCAGAGTATAGCATACAGGAGACTATAAACCTACTTGAGGGCATGAATTAGTCTATTCAGAAGGACTGCATGCATTTATTGTTCACTGCAGAAAATATCAATGGGACATAAATAAGGGTGTAACACAATCCTTTATTTTCAAAATTCATGTGGATGTCGTCTTTAGGTAATTGAAAAAGGGTAAAAAATAGTGAGATCAGCTCTAGAAAATATGATGACTCAAAAAGATTCTATATTTGTGGGCCTTATTTACTATAATACATTAACTAATGCACATACTAAATTTGGTAAACCAACTATCTTTGTTAGAGACATATTTTTTAATGTTTAAGAGTCAAACAAAAGTATCTTACTCTAGCACAGACTGAGACATATTCAGTGCTTGAAAAATGCTTTTGACTAAAAATACTCAACAATAATGCTATGCACTTTCAATAATTATTGATAATACCTTTTGGACATCACTTGTCCCACATGACTTTTGACACAGAAGACCTTCCGTGTCTGAATGCCCACACCACAAGTAGCTTCTCCATTCCAGCCAATGGTTGCATTCAGGGCAGTTACCAATGTGTCTTCAGAACAGGGGCCCCAAGGCGATGTCTCCCAGTGGAGTTGCATGCAGGAATGGTCATTGCATGAGCGATATTCATGGAGGGCCTGACTAGGCGGGCATGGTTTTCCACCTGCAACAATTAAAATAAAAAAGAATACATAACCATTGCTGTTTTTATTAATATGTTGCTGTCATTATTGCTGTTCTTATTTTTATTGTTTTTCTATTTTAATGGTCTAGAACAGGGGTCCGTAAACTGCAGCTGGTGAGCCACATGTGGCTCTTTGGGTACGTTCCGTCTCAAAAGTTTGGTGACCCCTGGAAGAGCCAATCCTGTCCCTCACAACAATTTAAAAATTATTTGAGAGCTAGAAATATATTTTTACATAATCACCATTATGGGAATAATATCCTTTAAAATTTTTATTAAACTATCATAGTTTTATTTTCATTTTCAACTTTACTTCAGAGCCACATGAGCGTACCCAAAGAGCCGCACGTGGCTTGTGAGCTGTAGTTTGCCGACCTCTGGAGGCTCTTCCATCTCAAAAGTTTGCAGACACCTAGTCTAGAAAAATGGCCTTTTTGACAGAGCTTTCCAAAGGCATGAGTCACTGCTCCTTATTTCCACTCTAAGGCCATGGTTCTTTTGTCCTGAATAACAATTTGAGGACACTATATTGTGCCATTCTCTAAAAACCAGGGAGCAGTACTTGTCAATGAAATTTAAAAATAACTCTGAGTCATGTATCTCTGACATAAACTCCAAGGAAATCTGCTTTTATTTTAATATTACTATGCATACATAAATTAGTCCATTAGATAATATAGCCCATGACCTTGAAGTGATGTTAAAGTGAACATATACATGTGTGTGCACGTGCATGTAAACACACACACACACACAAACACATTGTCTATATATGATCTCTCTTTCCTAAGAGAGCATTATTTTTATCAGAGAACCATTTTAAGACATCCCGTCCTCCACCAAGCAGTGCATTTTACTGCAATTTGAGAAATCCAGAAGTCGCTCTTAAAGTTTGGCAAGTAAAAAACCCGTCCTTAAACTCTGAAATAATACCTGACAATGTGTTATCCACTGGCTGGTAGACGAGACAGATGTGCATCCTTACACTCTTGGGTGAGTCAGACAATCAAATTCCATTACTATCTTTTCTTTCACATTTTTATATCCATGTAAAAACTGGTATTTATCTAAAGTATTGATTTTTTCCTATTCTTCCACACTATAATGTTTTATTCAGTGGGCCAAATGCTCAAGAAGATTTGTGAATTTGGTTTTGCTATTCTTGCTATTTTTTCTTCATTAAATACTACTGGCTTTTTAGCCTCCTTTCAAAAATATAAAAGACAAGATGGGGGAGAACCTGCACTTTAAGAATATGAAAATCTTCATTCATCTTGACCCTGGCCCCCTTTCTCAGAATCACAGAGCAGAATCTTGTTTAAAAAGGAGTTCCTCGCAGTCTGTGGCCATATTGCCCCGCTGTTCCAACTGAGCTGTAGGCAGACGAAGCCAAGGGAGGGCCTGAGAGAAATGACACATGCTGTCTGGGGACAGAGACCATTGCTATAAATGATAGGAACAGCTGCTCCTCTAATTTTTTCTGATACCATCCATTTACATTCCGATAACACATCTTTGCTTCTTCAAAGCCATTTTTACAGCCTTCATCTATTTCCTTCTCAAGGCATGCCAGAATAACAGAACAGAAAATCAGGCCACGTGGATCAGGAACCTTGCCAATGTTAGTGGCAGTTCCCAGTCAAGAAGCCATGTCTCTTGATTCCTAATTTGGAGCTCTTTTTACCAGACATATTTAAATTATCTTCCCAACTGCATGAAATAGCTGAAGCTGGATGTGTATCAACTAAACTTTGTTTTCTTTCCTAAATTGGTATCATGAAAAGTAACATCCATCTGATTGCCATGATCTGTTCGTAGATTGAGCTAAAACAGTTCATGTAAATACTGGAACCCAGCACAGATAAACTACAGGATTAAAGAGAAAAGGCATGCATGGAAAGGAAACTGTTCATTTGAATTCAGGAAATTTAGATATCACCTATATGTGGCTACTTCCATGATATGACCTTCATTTACAATTACCTATTAGAAAACAATAATTGGGCAACTGACTCCATTAAAACCTTTACTATCACTCACCTTCTCCAGCTAATGCCAGGATAGTCCTTGACCTGGTCTGTTTCCCATCTGAGTTTTTATTTGAACAAGACTGGGAGCAAGATGACCACGCTGTCCACTCGCTCACCACACAATCCATTCTGCACGGGATTTCACAAACCATCCGTTCAGGAGGGGGAGATGCTGGGCAGAGACTCCCTGATACAACTTCTCCTGTAATCAATGGGATCAAGACAGATGCTGCTTAATGCACGATCAAGGCCAGTCCAAGGAACAGTCAGGTTCACTGCTTCCTATATTACTTCAGTTTAGCTTAGAAGACTTCACCTGGTGTCTAACCAATAAAGTGCAAAAAGTGATTTCTTCAGCCATTCATAATGTTTATGTCAAGCAAAACTGCCAGAAGATCATTTGGCATTTAGAAAGGTAGATATCACAGAAAAATTGCCACATGTCATCCTTCACAGGGACAAAATGGCCTTCTTCAAAGATCAATTTAGCCATGGATGGCTGGAGACAACATGATTTACGTGTTATTGACAACCATATGTAACAAGAATGTATATGTATGTATGTATGTGTGTGTATATATGTGTGTGTGTGTGTGTGTATATATATATATATATATATATACATACATACATACATACATATTCTACCCTATATAGAAGAGTTTTATCAATCTAATATCTGGTGTGTACTTTCACCTCCAAACATATAACCTTAAGCAAGATTATCACACAATTACTTTTATTTTATTTGTGTATAGTGGCAAATAATAAAAAAACATGATGGAAACAGACCTATGCATAAAATCATATAATGTGTTGAGAGAAAAGTTCAAAGCCAGTCCAAAATTCTCACTAATGAACTTATTATTCCCCCTGTGAATGATATATTACTTAAACCTATATGTAAAAGATAGATATAGATATAGATGATATAGATAGATATAGTTACAGATGATATACATATAGATATAGATGATACAGATATAGATATAGATACACATGTGTGCATGTATGCACACACACAAACACACACACTCTTTTAGGTTATTTCTTCACTATTCTTCAAATTCAAATATTGTTCATAGATGATAATTCAACTCTTTCTATTTCCCCCATTCACAATCACCTCATAAAAACAGAAGCCAACAAGGATAGTGATACTATGTATAGTTTGAAGTAACAACATGAATTATGGAATGGCAACTATAAGAGAGAGACAGTTTTGTCCCTGTGACTGTGCTGTGGAATGCTCTTGTCATAATCTGACACAAAAATAACTGCAAAGGAGATTAATATTTATGGAGCATCTCCTTTCTGCCAGGCACTATCCTTGTAAGACACTCTTAGAGACAGGTGTGACCTATATCGTTTTATACATGAGGAGTCAGTGGCTCCAGAATGAAAACTTGGTCAAGGTCACACGGGTCTGAGTTGGGAATCAGTTTAAAACTTTCTGACCCCAAAACTTCTGCTTTTGCCATTAACCATGCTATGTCTATGTCCAAGGAGACAAACATTGCTTTTCTGAGGAAGTAAATAAAGCAAGCAGAAAGTGAGCAAGACTGACTGGAGTAGAAGATAGTACACCGCTAATATCTGCACTGATATTTGTAAATGAGACCAGGCTTATTGCCCTTGAGGTACAAATCAAACTTTTCAAGCATATTATGAGAAGTAATAAAGATTCTAGTAGCTAATCAAGCTCAAAGACCAGTTCCGATCATTCTCTTTTCGGTCTCAGTCTATTTTCAGGTTGAGTCCACACTGTCTGGCATGCGCGCGCGCACACACACACACACACACACACACACACACACACAATATGGTTAAGGGGTACTGCTTTTCCAACTACATAAGCAGGCTGGCCAGGAAAAACACAAATGTCCACATTTGTGAATATTATTAAAATAATTTTAATACAAAACACTTTAAAGCAGTGTCTTGCAAAGAACATTTTGAGAAATAAAAGATTAAAAAGTGAAGGGGAAGCTAAGAACTACTGGGTTAAAATAGTAAAATTGGTCTCATTACTAAAGAATTCCTCAGAGTTTTGAAAATGCTGAATATAGTACAAATTTACTAAGGTGAAAATGGTATGTAGTGTTTTTCAACTTTATTTGACCAAAGGCAACCTTTTTTTGAAGAGCATGTCTTCCAGAAATGGTATTTTTATGAATATGATTTGAGAAAACCCTGCCTTCAAGAGTTACAAAAATTCTCAACTATGTTTTGAGCACGTACTATGTCCAAGGAATATGATGGTATATAAACAGTTGAAAATATTATTACTTACCCCACTAGAACTCAGAATTGATAACAGAGATGAGCTATAAATGTATTAGAATAAAACCAACTCCAAAAGTAAATGCCAAGCTTCAAATATGTTTTTCAAACAGGAACTACTATAGCAGTTGAGGGAAGGAAAGGATCTCTGTTGGAGTAGCATGATAGCACAAGGCTTTCGAAAAGGAGACAGAGAAAGGGTGAGAAATGGCAGCAATAAGTGAGGGTATTTCAGGCATCAAAATGTCAACAAAGGTATAATGGTAGGGAAATGCAAGGTATTTGAAGACAGTTAATATGGGAGCTGTGTGAGGAAAAGAATGCCTATGTTGGAAGTTATTTGACATCAAATTCTGAATGACTTAGACTGACAGTCAAGTTTTTCTATCTTTCTGCCTTCCTTAAATTCCCAGTTACTTTGTTTTCTCATGACTCAATTTAATATCCTCCCAAGTAATAATTCAGCATCCTTAATATTCACTTTGGGTACTTGAATGCTTTTTAGAGCCTAAGATTTCATATAAATTGATATACACATTTCCTCAGCGTAGCTAAATGTCAATACTCCACCAACATTTTGATAGCTTGTCTATACAGGCTAATTCAGAAATGTGAGAAAACAGATAGCCTTTCCTTAGGGGAGATAAACTAATAATCATAAGCAGGCTCTACAATTTATTATAAGAATAATATGTAGGGGCTCCTAGTCACAAGGTGTCCTAACTGGACACAGGTATCTACAAGTGAATTCTAGCACAACTTATCCTCTTGAGTGTATCACTTAGTATCTTTGAACCTCAGTTATCTTATCTGTGATAATGAAATAATAATGTTTACCTTTCAGGGATATTCTAAAGATTAGAAATAATTTATGCAACATACATAACAAGGTGTCTAATACATGGAGGATTCTCAATGTACAGGAACCTTAAAAAGTGTCATTTGCAAAGATGTATACCACAAAAACCAAGGGTCTTATTCATCTGAAAATTCTAGTTATGTATGTAATAAACATGGAAAGCACTTGCTTTTCCATTCATATGTATGTGCAAAGAGCTACCAACAGTTTCACAGGCTGGTTCACATGAAATATAAAAACTATGTATAATTATCCACATCATTTTATTTAGATGGTTGGCTAATCTAAATGATTTAAGAGCCAAAAATAAAGCACATCTGCTTCAATAATCTCATCTGCCCATCTACACTGTTACATTCTCATTTTACAGAGAGAACTCATCTCAAAAGAGAAACATTTATTCTCTCCTGTGCTCATTTTGTTGGATGGATCAATAAGACCAACTGAAAGCTCAGGCAAGCATGAAAAATAAAGCAGTGCATGGCACAGAAACTTAACCATTAAAAGTCATTTTCACAAGCTCTGCTAATCTAATATCATAAAGAAATAGAATATATTTAAGAGGGAAATTGAATTGATCTTTCAAGAAAACTCTGTAATATAAATTGCTCCCAGCCCTCATCATCCTCCCTGGAATCAATAATGACAAACTCTCCATTCTCTGCTCATGGAGTACACTTATTTAAATCAGTTGTGATTCTGAGGACATGGGATATGGTGTTGCTTCCATCCTGTCACTCAGTATTTTTTAAACAACAATTTAATATGGTGAGATTCACATTACACAAAATAAACCATTTTAGAGTAAATATTTCAGTGGCATTTAGTACATAACAGTGTTGTACAACCATCACGTCTATGTAGTTTTAAAACATTTGCATCACTCTAAAGTAAAACCCTTTGCCAATTAAGCTGTTTCTCCATATTACTCCCTCCCTCTCCTCAGTTCATGGCAGCCACCAATCTACGTTCTGCCTCTACAGATTAAATATTTCACATCAATGGAATTATACAATTTGTGATCTTTTGTGTCTGGCTTCTTTCAGTTAGCATAATATTTTAGAGACTCATGTATGTTATAGCACATATCACAACTTTATTCCATTTTATGATGAAATAACATTCCATTGTGTATATATTCCACATTTTTTTTAATCCATTCATCGTTGATGGACATCTTTTGGATATTGTGAATAGTGCTGCCAAGAACAAGCTTATACATGTACATGTTTGAGTACCTATTTTCAATTCTTTTTGGTATATACCAAGGAGTGAAATTCTAGGGTCATAGTCATCACTCAGTTTTGTTTGTCTGTGATTCTGGGAACCGTGGAATAGATGGCCAGATGACTAGGTCTTGACCATCATTCACACTACTGTTCTCATCTCTGACCATTCCTGGCTAAAAGCAAAAGTATTTAGATGAGAGAAAGATTCTTGAATATATGTATATATTCAAGATTTCCTAAGAATGTTTCTTTTTCCAGTTCAAATGTGCATGCTACTTAAAGTATAAATAGCTTATGGAAAACTTTCTATGGCTACTGGTCAAGTCATCATGTAAATGAAACACCAATGTGATAGCTATTACAGTTTGGTATTTCTACATCAAGCTAATGTTTAAATCATGCTGTATACTACATTCTGTGGCATTTGTTGTTTTGTGACTTTTAGGGAACTAGAATTTAATATTACAAACTATTATCTATCTTTTATAACAATAGAACAATGACTATAATTCTTAGTTTTCTGACCTAAACTGAAAGTGTCCAAAAAGAAAAAAGATATAGACAAAAGAGAAAAAGTAAGAGAAACCCAGAAATCCACAAACCTACAGTATGATTTGGAAAGTAGGCCAACATTTTATTATTACACAAACTTCAAACTATCACACTCTTCCAAAAAATAGTGCACTTTATTGACACGTCCTCTTGTGTACTATTACACTATCTATAGAAAACAATAAAACAGTTATTGAAAATACTCTACATGTCATAAAACTTTATGTCCTATTTAAATCTTAGAAAAGAAAGTCAATAAATGTTGATTAAATGC